AGCAGTTGTGCACGGAGTCTTTATATTCCCCGACCATCATTTCGGAGGGGGGCAGTTGTTTTGTAACTTCACCGAAATATAAATATATTTGGAAACTGTGCAGCTGATAAAAAAATGTCGCACGACATAAATTGTGGGAAACTTAATTTTCTACAAAAAAGGTCTCTTACCACACGTATTTGAAACTACATATAGCGACCAGTTAACAAAGTATCTAAACAAATATATTTTAATTATATCTATTTTAAAAGCATGTGCGGTCTTTTTCCGTATGAAAAATTAGGAAATATGAAATAATAATTCTTTAACAATTTTTCCAAAAAATCTGAAAAAATTACGCATTAATAGTCATAATGTTACGCTATAGCCATAAAAATATGAACATGGTCGCGTAAGTAATTAAGACAATATAAAGCTTTTTCGCCATTTTTTATTTTTTTGACTACGTTCCACCCCTTCGAAAAATCTGAAAAAATTAGAGATTACTAATTCTTTTGAGAGCTTTATACTGTATAAAAACAAATGTGGTCACTTGATAATTTCTACAAAAAATCGCCGGTTAAAATATTTTCGAATTTTTTAAAAATCGAATTTGCATCCGAAAGTTCTGAAAAAATTCTCGAATATGTACATCAATCGATAGAATAATCATGATTTTTTTCATAATTTTTAATTGAGCAGAACGGGTGATATTAAGGATAAACCAAAAAATGATTTTCACCCCGTAATTACCCCTATAGTGGAGATACCTGGTTGAATCTCTGTGAAAAGGGGTTTTTATGAACCACCTATCGAGTGGTATTAATCCCGTTCACTTTGGTTTGGGGGCACTTTTACCATGCTTATTCGGCTAGACCCTTTAACCGCTAAACAAGGGGCCACGGAAATCGTAATCTTCCCGAAAGGGCCTCGCGCGAAGGATCGTCAAGATGGTAGTCGAGACAAAGTTGCAACCGACGAGGAGATAAGGAGGTAGGTCCTCGTGCCGTGTGCACCATCAACTGGGGTGCGAGTATTTCGTAACGATTGTCGATCGTATCCGGATAATTTGATTCGCAATGGTTCGAGACGCTGGTTCGTTTCGATCTTTGTGCTTCTTTAAACAGACATAAAGAATTGACTCTTGACTTTGAAGGTGGTAGAACAGAATGGAACGTATATACACACATCAATAATTTTGTACCATTTATACAATTTTATACACCTAAAATATAGTAAAAAAACAAAAAGGACTTGTGGGACAATCTAATATAATGTTTTATCATCTAAAGATTAAAGTTTCAGTATTATCCTTACCAAATAATACTAATTTGGGTAATTATCTAGAAGTTTGCCCTCCTCACCGATTTTCGTGACCTTGAAATATGTTGTCAAGATCATCATTTTGAACAACTTTTCCCTATACAGTGAGTCACAGCCAAAATCGTACACCACATACGAAAATATGTTTCATTCGAAAAAAGAAGTTTAGGAATGATTTGGAAAAACATAAAGCAGACATATCATTGTAAATATATCTGCATTTATTGTGCAATAATGACAAAAGAAATGAATATTGCTTAACATAAAAGAAATAAAGTTACTATTGTTACGAGCGCGAGCGCGAGATCCTGGATTTGGTCGAGGGTAGTACTCGACCGGTGGTTTTAGGTATGGTTAGGAAAGAGAAAGGAGTTCCGGACAAACCAGGGGCTCTATACCCTGGAAGCTACGGAGTTAGATTTATAAGGAAAATGTATGGTTTCACGGACGAACCAGGGGCTTTATACCCTGGGAGCCACGTAGGTTTTTAGAATGTTTTAGGATCTTGCTCTGTCGTAATGGTACACCTCGAGCGGTAAAGGTGTACCGGGTTCGTAAGATACCCCTAGTCTTACTATTAATAGTGTTCAGGGTTGTATTAAGTGAATAATGTAAGTGAGAATAACTACTTGAATATGTTCTAGTCGATGCTCAAGTACAATGGTCAGTTAACAGAACTAGTACTATTGCTAGGTTGCCTTGACGGCGAAAGTTCTATGTCGGCTTTTACGCGGCGCGTTCGCGGGAGCTACTTCTCGATTAGTCTAATGGGCACTCACTAATAAAACCGCTAAGGTAGTTATGTTGCTTGATGGGGATTATAGCCCAATCTTGCCTCGAGTGTCAAAGTAACGTTGTGTCGAGAGTTTTAGAAAAACTGAGCTTCTCGAGTAAGAAAACACGGCCCTTATATACTCGAAATTGCTCTGTACAATGATGGCGTATTACCATATTAGGCAATGAAAATTGGGCCGGGTGCTCACATACGGCATGAGTCAACCCCGTCCGAGGGGGTTGTGCGCTAGATCATCGGGCCAACGTCCAAGCTACCAAACGTTTCGATCCCATACATGAATGATATGTAACACTATAATACGGCGCAGAAAACATCTCACAGCTAAAATCGTACACATTAAGAATATTGTTCTATAGTTAAATTAAATTAAAAATTAGTACTTTGTAGGGTATCCTCGGCTGCATTCTACTGTATGTAACATTTTCAGCATTGATTTTACTAGGTTTTGTGTAAAATTGGGTTCAATTTTTCTCCATTCTTCTTGCAATGCCTTTTTTAAATCATGTTCGTTAGAAATCATATGTTTTCTAATCCGTACTTCTAATTCATGCGAAATATTCTCAATCACGTTTAGGTCAGGTTATTGGGGACGTGTATTCACAACTTTCGGGCAGTTATATAATTGCCATATTTTAGCAATATGCGACGTATGTTTTGGGTCATTATCACTATAAAATTTAAAAAAATTCAAAATTCCTAATTTTTCGGCACTACTTTTGAAATTCTTTTTTGAAATATTCAAATAATCAAATTTGTCCATGTTCCCTTCAATAAATTACAAATTTCCTGTTCCAGTAGCTGATACACACCCCCAAACCATCACTGACCCACCTCCATGTTTAATAGTAGCATTCATATTTTTTATTTTAAATTCTTCATTAGGTTTACGCCATACAGTAACTTTGCCATCTGGATGAAGAAGATTAAATTTCCTTTTGTCGGCAAAAATAACTTCTTTCCAAAAACTAAAATCCTTAGTTAAATACTGTCTCGCAAACTCTAGTCTCCTTTTCTTATTTTTATCGCTGACAAATGGTTTATTGCTTGCTGTACGCTCATGAAAATAATCTCTTTCTTAGTACTCTTCTTACAATTTTTGAATTAACAAATATTTGCAAATATTTTTTCACCTCGTTCGACAATTTAGGTGCACTCAGCTTTGGATTTTTTTTGATTTTTCTAACTATCCATCGCTCATCGTACGCATTAAATTTTGTGTTCGGTGCTGTTCTTAATTTATTTGTAATTCTATTTTCTTCTCTATAGCGTTTAATAATGTATTGAGCAGTGCTAATACTTCTACCAATAATTTTTGCAATTTCTCGATAGCTTTTCCCATTTTAAAAGTTCTTCGCGACAATTTCCCGCGCCTCTAGTGTCATCTGCTTCATTTTTACTATTATTACGATTTATTTCCTTGCTTCGATGTAATACCACGTTTACTAGCAAGCTAAAACAATGATTTTTTTTTGTTTACCGTTTTTACTTTCTTTTCGGGGATTCCTGGAGGGGAATTCCAGATAAGAAAATAGTGTACGATTTTAGCTTTGAGATGTTTTTTGCACCGTATTATAGTAATTTTATTTTTTTTATGTTAAGCAATATTCATTTCTTTTGTCATTATTACACAATAAATACAGATATATTTATAATATATGTCTGCCTTATTTTTTTTCCAAATCATCCTCAAACTTCTTTTTTCGAATGAAACATATTGTTATATGTGGTGTATAATTTTGGGTGTGACTCACTGTATCTATATGTTACCGCCGCTTGGCCTTAGTTTTCGAGATATTTGCAAAAATCTTTAGTTAAACTTAGATTACGAGTACACTTTATTTCGGCATAAGCTATCGCTTAACGGCGTTTGCAACATATTCTTCTTATTACAACAGTTATGTTTTTGCGTTTGTTTGGGTATTTGATACGTATTCCTTCCAAATGATGTTTTGTCACTAGTTTACGAGCGAGCTATTGACAAACTCACGAGTACAGGTATACAGTATATAAAAGGCGAAAGAAAAAGTAATTGGAGTGAGTTATGGTTTGGTATAATAGATGAGATTCTACTTGAGATGCTGTAAAATGGTGATATGAAAACATCTCAAGTAGAATTTCGTATATTATATTTAGGAAGGACCCTCCCCAAACCTCCTCGCCGTCAGAAAATATAACCTCAAACCATTTCAATCACTCATTCAATTACCATTCAGTCTCCATTTTTCCCGAAATACAGTATACTGGTGACATAAGTATAACTGCAGTTTTTTCCGAATATCTCGGAAACTAAGGCCGACGGCGGTAACATGTATAGGGAAAAGTTGTTCAGAATGATGACCTTGATAACATATTTCAAGGTCACGAAAATCGGTGAGAAGGGCAAACTTCTAAATAATTATCCTAATTTATAATAAAAATATTGTGTCTGCATTATAGTTTACTTTTTGTTTGAAAATTTTTTCTGTTAAAGAATCATGCACACTTAAAACAAAAACAGAATCATCCATTGCAGGCTTAAAATTTTGCAATGTTACCCTTTAATTACACATCACCATGATACAATAGCACATATATTTTTTTAATGAATATTCAATACTTTTTTCTATAGTCTATATTCAGTCTAGTCGTTTACGATAAACATTATCATCTATTGTCTAATTAGATTTAAGAACATAACATTAATTGTTCAGACTTATTTGACCAAAATCAAATCATTTTCTTGGATTCTATTAAAAGGATTGCATTAGTTAAATCACGAAGTGAAAAAGATAAATGAAAGATAACGGAAATATTAATGAATATAATATACGTTGACGTCTCGCTAGAAGATTCGAACGAACTAATTATTAATTAATTCTTTTGAAGAAAAGAAACTGTCTAATTGGCACGTGTTTTGTTATAGGAAAACGATACGATTACTTTGATTCAGAAAATCGACGAGAATTGGTTCCAAGGTAGCGTGAACGGTCGCACCGGTTATTTCCCAGTAACTTACGTGCAAGTCGTAGTACCGTTACCTTAAGAGGATGTCATGCGTCTCAAAACCAAAGACCCTGCATTCGTTCACCAGCGTCTCCAGCAAAATTATCTTACGCTCCAATTAGCCTAAATCTCTATTCAAGACTTCTCTACTATCACTTACGTTATATGGTCCCAAGCTTGTTCGATCTACGGATTCAGAGTTCCTCTGTCTTATTTTGTTTCTTTCGTCTATTGTCCCAAGAATAGATGTATACGCATGTTAATGTACATATATAATGTTATAGTGTCTTTTATTGACGTAAGGACCTTCGCGCGCGCAGATACATACAAACATGATTACACGGTAAAACATACGGATATATACACACTAAAGTACCTACGATTACAGTCCACTGTCAAGGGTGGCTCATTTCTCGCGTTCTGTACCATTTCATGTCATGATGTAACATCTTCGTTAGTTTCTCTCACTAAAGTTCAATTGCACAAAGATATCAGATCACCAAGACTGCATTGAAATTCGAGTAGCAAAAACGTTCGAATACTCTTACGTCAAGTATTTTAATTTACACCATTATCATCGTATTATGTATTATGTAGTGAAACTTTAAGTTACTTCTTTTTTGAGAGATAATGCTTGATCAGTTCGTGATCAAGTTTCACTTTATGATTTCATTGGTCAGCTAAGCAATCGAAGCGTAATACATCATTTACAAGAAAGCCATCTTATGTTGTACATGTTTTTTATATACGTTTATTTGTTGTTTGTTAAAGCGCACGGTTCTTCATATAAAATTCGTTCATCGAATCATGGTGTACATTTTGAGTTGGTCCGCATAGCGCAGCGAAAACCGTACTCGTATAATATATTCGTGCATTGTATAGCGATTCGTTCCCCAGTCCTCCGGTCGTTTGAAGTTACTCGAACGTTTCCTATTCTTTTTAATCATTTAGGTGACACCGAATAGAAATTAGGATTTAGTTTTAAACGATGTTTAAAATGGCGGCGAATCTCTTTCACGAAGTCGTTAGCAATTAACAGAGTAAACAATTAGATTATCTACAACTCTGTTTATTACTTTGCATTGCGATTGCTTCAAGTCATAAGAAAACAAACTATACATGTATTTTAGATTCCTTTGCCCTTAGTTCTACATTTATTGATATTAGCGTGTTGAAATTGTTTAGAAATTATTTAGCATTGTTAACGATAATATCTTAAATGACTTCTTTGAATGAATTCAAATTGCTGATGTAGTAAAGCATCTAATTTTTTCTGCGCCCTCCCCTAATCCCAATGTAATTCCAAGTTCTGGAATAGAGAAAAGATATTAATCTAAATCAGAGTACTTATCACAATTATGTATTCGCGTTACAGATATTTAATTCGTATCCTTTACTGACTTTGGATGAGAGTGTAACCGCCAGAATAATGAAAGTAATTGAAAATCTTGGTTATTTGTTGCCACATGGATTTTAGGTAATCTTCAACAAATATTTGCTAAGCATAATATAATAATTATAGAGTATGTAACTTACACATATGTTGTCGATGATGGCGACAACGGTGATGACTACGACGATGGCATTATTATTATTAATATTCGCATATTTTTCCATTACTGTTACGGAAGATACATTTATATCGTAAAACGTTCTTGGCCTTACATTCTAAATCGTTCCAAAGGCAATTTCGTATAGTTGGTATTTATGAATTTCGCGGCACTTTGAACAGCGTTTCAGTTAATGCATTTATGTTACTTAATAATTATTGTGGTAGTCGTACGAATTAAAAATAATACTGATATTTCCCGATTGAACAATATTATTAAACAATCAGTTTTACTCATACTTTGTAACATTATATTAGTTGTATGTATAATTTATATACAATATTATACATATAATGGGTATTTTTTATGAGTTAATTGTATCATTATGATCTCGTACAATGTATGTCAATGAATTATAATATATTTTCGGAGACAGAAGATATTAAAACGTCGCGTTGAATTGGAACATTGTTCTAATGGCCGCTTAAATCGCCAAGAATGAAACTTACGGGTTCATTTACTGCAGAAAATTGTTAAAAATTATTGGCTGATATATCCGGGTATATAACTACTGCTGCTATCGTCATCAGCATTCAGTCATTGCAGATAAAAAGTATGAGGAGGAGAAAAAGACATTCATAATTTTATCTATTGTAACTATTGTGAGTCATGAAACTTTTTCCCGAAAACTCGAAGTGTTATCAATGTTGTGCAATATTAAAGTTTAACATCATGGTGTTTAAGCAGTTGTCGCGATCGCTGGATCAGTGTTTCTCAAATACGTGATTAAGAAAAAACATTACGAAAATCAGTAGACTAATATGATAAAAATTCTGTCAAGTTCAACGATGTCAAAAGCATTAGGTATATCCTGCTACTTTTTCGTTTTAAGCGACAAAGGAGACTCTCGTTCTTGTGATTTTACCTTCAGCAGAGCAACGCGCTTACGAAAGAATGTAATTGTAGCGAATAGGTGCCATATAAACATTTTCATAATTTATCGAATTACAATGTAAGAAAGAGAGACGTGAAATACAGCTGATAGTGAAGTAACGTCAATTTAATCGTACGTAGCTATGTATCACAGGTACCTAATGTACGTTGTGATAATTTAATATTCTTCTAAGCGCTAGCATCTGCTAGGAAGTTTGTCAATTAATATGATTACGAGAATCAGTGAGGCGTAAGTTTCATCTTCCAAGCACGGTGTAGAGTCACAAGAGAAACATGGGGGAATTGTTAGGTATAAAACGTTGAAAGCAATGTGAGTCCTACAACTTATGTCCACGTGCAAACGATAGCAATATAAAAATGGAGATATTTTCTTGGAACGAGAGATATATCACACGTCGAACAATGTTCGCGCAATTTGAGAAACACTGTACTGGTCCTGTGAATGAAAACTACGACACAAAGTCTCATGGAAGAATAATTTGTCGCGCGATATTTATTTCCACTTTAAGTCCGCAATTGCCTTCGTTCTTGTTTCCTGAAGTAATTTTACGGGAATACAAAGGCGATCGACGACCGTGGAGTAATAAAGGAAATAGAAAAAAAAAACAGAAAACTGGAAAAATAAAAAAAAGGACGAAATGAAATGATCTATAATTATTAAATCGGTATCTTACTATATAAATGTTGGCTATTGTTAAATGTTGAATATTGTTCTGCGGAGGGCTTGCTTCCTTTCGAGCGCAGAAGCTCGCCGATTCGAATCTATAATCATCCTTTTAATTACCCGACTCGTTTTTATGCACTCTACCGTATCTTTGTTTTATTATTCTACCATGATAACGACGAACGAGCTTTTTTTATATACTATACATATAAGTTTACTAAGTATTTCTTATAGAAATGTATTATTTTGCGATAGGTTAATTTTTAGAAGTCTTAGATTTTGCTTCCCCAAAAGAGAGACGGTTTTTTCGAACGCACGAGTTTCGTTCGAAGTGACAAGCTCTCCGCATTTTAATTGTAATCTAACTATTTGGGGTTGAGCAGATATCGAATCTATCGCTCCCCGCAAAGTCGCTGGGCATCCCTGGTCTGAAAAACTTAATTTTAGACGTTTATTTTTTTTTTCTTCTACTAAACATTAGATCGCTTCTATACTATATAGTTTCCTTATGCATGTCTTTATTGAGAAACTGAAAACTCGTTCGCTTCTCTTTGCTTATCGTGTTTCCGATCCACTTATATTTTGTAAGCGTCAGAATGTCCGGAATTCACGATAAGTGTTGAAGGGAGCGAGGATTCTTTTTTAGAAAACATTATTATATTCTGTTGACTTTTTATTATTGGTAAAGTGTAAAAAAATGACCAGTGGATGCAATGCAGTGATACTTTCAGACAATACATTACAATTAATTACTCTTATATGAATAAACTAATCTATTATGATTATTGAACTCCGATTGAAGAGGAATATACGACATGTACTCGATTCCGATCAATGCTAAATAATTATTAACACTAATTAAGAAATAAAGTGTGCTCTTTGTCATGCTACATAGTTTGAAAATGAATCTATGTTAAATTTACCCTTTCATACATCCGTCAGAGTTTTGTAGATTAATGCATGTATTTACTTTTTTCTAGCATAAATAAAATATACGTAGGGCGTGAAATGTATCATTTAAAACAATTAATAAATCATATTTTTGGATAATTTAAAAGAAAGTAGATAGCATAAATATTCTTAGCACAGACGAGGTATACGAGTAGACCTTACACCTTATGGACTTTCGTGATTCAAACTGACTGGCATATCGACTTAAAAATTGAGAGGTGATTTTACCGCCGGCAAACAGACTGTAGTGTGTGTGACTTTCAATCGCATCCTATCAAATTCGTATTTCAGGTCGTCTGCGATACGTGTTTAACATAATACAGTAGTGTCCACATAAGTGACTGAATTTTTTCCCACATAAATGACCAAAGTTATCCCCACCAATTCTTAGAAGCCAAGCGGCTTCGAACATCGAGCGTGTCGAGTGTAACTTGACGCCGGTCGTTATCGATACATTGTATATGTGGTTTCGGGTGCCAGCTATTGTATCTCACTCGCATTTATCCTCTTTCCTTATCTCCGTTGTATTCTGAGAAGTAACCATGCCTACATAAATGACCACGGCCGGCCCCAAACGTGGCCACTTAAGTGGGCACTATTGTAAATACCATAATGACGACAACGTACATGATGAACTAGACAAGTGAATGTGTAAGGATTGTCGAGGATGGGCAGAGAGGCGTGTGGACGGATTCAAATACGTGAACACTAAACGTAACGATATAACTATATTATTTAATATTAACTAACTATTTAATATAAAGAACATAAAAGAAAGACATAAAACGTAAACGAAAACGATCATAAACGTAAAACTGTGACTGCTTTCGACTAACGTTCGATACAGAGTGACGTTCCTGCAGTCAAAGTCGACCCTTCCTTATTTCTATCTTATAATAATGATCTAAACAAAACGCACGTTCGAGACGCAGTCCCTAAAACGTATTTCAGCTTAAACCTAAACACCTCACTCGATACCTACTGTAGTTTAGACTAAACACTTCTATCGACGCCAACGATAACGGTTCTCCGAACCACACACATACACTCCTTACAAATGGAAGTTTGTCTTTAATTAATTAAAATACTGGTCTTGTAAGTATAGTTGGTAATTATTTAGAAAAGGTGGGGTCTCACCGATTTCGATGATTTTTGAATATGTTGTAGAAATCAAGATTTTGAACAACTGTTTCCTACACATATAACCACCGCTCGGCCTTAGTTTACGAGATTTTTCTTCAAAAAGATTGCTACTACTACAATGAATTCTGTCTATAGAGGGTGTTCGGCTACCTATGGCAAAAATTTTAATGAGCGATAGTAGAGGCCAAAATAAGACGAAAATCGAGAATACTAATTTGTTGATGGAGGCTTCGTTGCAAAGTTATTAACATTTAAAGTTCCGCCTGTAGAATGACAACCCGCTAAACAGCTGCGTTCGCGCGGACAGTTGCGGCAGGCCAGTGATAGTGGTCCTCACGTAGCATGAAAAATTCTACTTACCGACATTATCGACAGCCTTAGATTTCTGTCCACTTATGGGAATGCGAACACCTCACGTTGAATCTTATTCAACCTGTCTTATGAAAATCCAGAAGGGCATATCAAAACTCGCCCGACAAGATTTTCACAGAGAAAGGGTGAATGCCGCCAGTTCCAATACACAATGTTGTGAACAAAAATCACCCACACGCGATTATACACGCCCCACGACTGTCCACAGTGTCCACAAGTGTCCACAAATAATCCTTTCAGGCACTAACCACTATGCAATTAAATAAACACGCACCGTGATTACGTTATTCGTGAACGTCTACGTGTACGTGTATCACGATTCTTCCGAGTTACTTACGAATAAAACTGTTATTAATTTTTCAAATACACTTCAATTTAAAAATGGAGAAAGGAATCGCAGGATAAATTAAATTTTCGCATCGATTTACGTTTACATCGAAGAATGTAACAATACTAGCAGCTGACTGTGCCATCGATCGACGAAGTTCAGAGAAACAAATGCCGAACAGGACCCCGATTCTACATCACTCGCCTCGCTTATCTCTCTCACACACAGCGGACACAAAGGGCAGCATCGGCATGTGTTCGGCCAGCTAGTCAGTCGTAAAACAATATCAGTGAAGCTAGTTCACGCGACACATTTTAGACATATTTGATTCAGATATGTATTAAGTAGCATGTCAGAAATAGAGTGATATAAACAATGAGCGAATACTTATTAAATTCCTTTTTACATTTTTAAATTAAAGTATATTCTATTCGTAATGTTTGAGATTGAAGTGAACTGTAGAGATTTTCATTGAGATGCCGGTTATGAGAGGGTTCGCGAAAAATGACTATGGTGCAAAGTTAATTAAACAAGGTCTTTATTAACAACATTGTCCCGTTTGTGAAATACATAATTAATGAGCGGTACGTTAAGTAAGAGTTTTACACGAGCGGTTATGAGAAATGGCGATATTATTGATCGCCATTTCTGAGCGCGAGTGAGAATGAGAATCAACCGTTTATTACGAGTTTAAAACTCATAATACCCTTGCAATTATATTAATTGCAAGGGATTTATGAGCGTGAGCCTTGATAATTAGTTGTGAATTAATTACATTGAACACAGTAGATTATGTGCGGCACTAAAGAACAAAGGAAACTGCGACTGAAAAACAGAGCACACTTGTCGCGTTTGAGATTACGAACAAGACTGGCTTAATGGCCGCGCTCGTGGTCACCACGAGGTTTCGACCGGCCGGTAGCGAGATCGTTGCGCGCGCAGGTGGGCCAGCTATCCTGCTCGCGCACAAAGTGTGCCCGAGAGGTGCTGCCAATGAGCGTCGTGGTGGCCACGGCATGAGCGAAACATTGAAAGGAAACAAGGCACGTGCGTGTTGCTAAAAATGAGAGTTAATTCTCGAACATTCCGCCCGCCATCAGCCACTTGTGGCTGATGATTCCGCTGTTGGTAGGATGTTTTGGCGCCTCGTCCTTTCCAAGTTTTGAGAGTGAGTGGACCGGCATAGTCCATGCCGGTATGAGAGAATGGCGATGACGGTGTGACTCGAGAAAGAGGTAGTTGGCCCATCAGCTGATGGGCACGGATCCCCCTTTGGCGAGCACACGTCAAACACCGCAGAATATGAGCCTTGACTGGAGCTCTTCCTCCGATGATCCAGTAGGTTTGTCGAATGTAGGCGAGTGTGAGTTGAGTTCCACCATGAAGAGTTTGTTTGTGAGCGTGATCTATAATCAATTCAGACAAACGTGAGTGGCGAGGCAAAATAGCGGGATGTTTACCCTCGTAGCGGAGCTGAGAGTTTTCCAATCGTCCGCCGACTCTGATGATTCCCTTATCATCAATGAAGGCAGTCAGGTGACTGAAGGCATGAGATGAAGGCAGCGATGAGTGTGAGGTGAGCATCTTCATTTCATGAGCGAAGTAGATGGTCTGAGTTGCCCTGATCCAGAATTTCTGAGCATCTTCCAGATCACTCGGCAAATGTGAGGTATAGGCTGGTGAGCAGTGGACCCCTTTTAATTTTGCTATAAATCTGAAACAAATAGCAGTGATGGTGAGAAGTTTCTTGAGCGTTGAGTATTTGTGAATGAGATCCCACTGATACTCGATCTTTTGGGAGATGAGCGCAGTAGGAATACTTGGACGCGCTTCTAGTGCACATGAGGCGTCCTTGAGCTTCGGTTGTGATGGCCATGAGTCCTGGGGTTGAGTAAACCATGGTGGTCCCGTCCACCATAGCTGATGATGTTCAAGCTGAGCAGTTGAAAGGCCTCGTGATGCGCAGTCAGCTGGATTCGATGTTCCAGACACATACCCCCAATGTGCCTCAGGTGTGAGTTCTTGTATCGCCAATACTCTGTTTCTCACATAATCCTTCCAGCGTGATGCGTGAGATTTGATCCATATGAGTGTGACTTGAGAATCCGTCCACAAGTGAGTTGTAGCAATGTTGAGATTGAGCTTCGCTTGAACATAGCTTGCCAGCCTTGCAAGCATAAGAGCTGCTGTGAGCTCCAGTCTCGGGATAGTGAGTTTCTTGAGAGGTGCGACCTTCGTCTTGGCGCACACCTGTGACGTCACCTTGAGATTTGTGGACGGTGAGAAGACCGTGATGTAGATCACGGCTGCCATGGCGAGCTGAGATGCATCAGAGAAACCGTGTATTTCCACCACTGAGTCTTGACAGGTGTTGAACCAGCGTGGAATTGAGAGTCTGGCCAGACTTGTGAGATCTTCTCTGAGGATGAGCCATCGTGCTGTGATGTGGGATGGTAGTGATTCATCCCAGTTGAGTTTGTGCAGCCATAATTCTTGCAATAAAATCTTACAGCGAATTATGACCGGTGAGAGGAAACCAAGTGGATCAAATATCTGTGCTACTTGAGATAGTATGAGGCGTTTACTTATCTTGGTTGGGGGTGAGAATGAGTCCTCCTTCGATGAGAATGTAAATGTATCCTTGAGAAAATTCCATTGCATTCCGAGTATTTTGGTTTTGCAGTCGTCCAATGAGAGTGATGAGCCTTGAGCATGAGCTTCAGGTGAGATGGCTTCGAGTAGCGCGGGGCAGTTTGAATGCCACTTAGCAAGTGGGAAACCGCCCGCGTTGCACAGACCTTGAAGCTGATGAGCGAGTTTCTTGAGATCTTCTGGTGAATCTGCTCCTCCAAAGATGTCGTCGACATATCTGGCATGAGTGATCGATGGTACGGCCAGAGGATAATGATGACCTTCATCCTCAGCTAATTGCAGCAATGTTCTGACCGCAAGATACGGTGCTGCCTTGGTACCGTAGGTGACCGTAGTGAGCTGAAATTGAGTCTCTTGCAGGTCCTTATCCACCCACAATATTCTTTGCAGATCCCAGTCGTCTTCATGCACTCTGATTTGCCGATACATTTTGGTAATATCGGTTGAGAATGTGTATCTGTGCTGACGAATCCATAGGAGCACGTCAGCGATGTTGAGCAGTAGGTTTTCACCAGTGTGCATGATGTCGTTGAGAGAATATCCAGAAGATGTTGAGCTTGAGCCATTGAAGACAACTCTCAGCTTCGTAGTCGTGCTGTCTGGTTTCAAAACACCATGATGAGGCAGATAGAAAGTTGTTGAGTGTTGAGTGTCACTGTGAACGTTGAGTGTCACTGGTTGAGAGTGAGAGTCACTAGTGAGTTTGAGCGTCACTGCACTGGTTGAGCGACACTGCGCGACCGTTGGGGCGTGGGCATTGTTCACAACGAACACGCGCACACAAGGTGAATTGAAAGTTCACGAGCGTTATGTTAAGAGAAAACCACAATGGTTTATGAATTCACTTCACACCTTTGCACCATATCATATCGCGATCCGGCTCGAAGGACCAAAAATGTTTGAGATTGAAGTGAACTGTAGAGATTTTCATTGAGATGCCGGTTATGAGAGGGTTCGCGAAAAATGACTATGGTGCAAAGTTAATTAAACAAGGTCTTTATTAACAACATTGTCCCGTTGTGAAATACATAATTAATGAGCGGTACGTTAAGTAAGAGTTTTACACGAGCGGTTATGAGAAATGGCGATATTATTGATCGCCATTTCTGAGCGCGAGTGAGAATGAGAATCAACCGTTTATTACGAGTTTAAAACTCATAATACCCTTGCAATTATATTAATTGCAAGGGATTTATGAGCGTGAGCCTTGATAATTAGTTGTGAATTAATTACATTGAACACAGTAGATTATATGCGGCACAAAAGAACAAAGGAAACTAAGACTGAAAAACAGAGCACACTTGTCGCGTTTGAGATTACGAACAAGACAGACTTAATGGCCGCGCTCGTGGTCACCACGAGGTTTCGACCGGCCGGTAGCGAGATCGTTGCGCGCGCAGGTGGGCCAGCTATCCTGCTCGCGCACAAAGTGTGCCCGAGAGGTGCTGCCAATGAGCGTCGTGGTGGCCACGGCATGAGCGAAACATTGAAAGGAAACAAGGCACGTGCGTGTTGCTAAAAATGAGAGTTAATCTCTCTCGACCCACACGCTAACTACTTTTCTCGTGGGGAAAATCTTCGAAAGACTCCCTCCCACCTCTTTGGGGAGAGGCGGGAGGGGTGTGTGGGATTCCCCGCGCCCATTATAACGGGCGCGGGACCTACCCACTAAAAACCCCACGGTGACCCTTCCGCACGATTTGGGAGGATACCGGGAATCGCTTGCAGTATACTTCCGGTATCCTCCCCGTGCCCGCGCTTTGCGCCCACCCGCGGGGGGACAAACGGTCCCCCCGGCAATCGCCCTGTCTCATAGCGGCAGGACGAGGCCACTTCGTCCTGCCGCCATCCGTCCCGGGGCCGCGTCTAGTGGCGGCTGCGAGCCCCAACTCGCAACCGCCCGCGACCCCGTTTCTACCCCCTCGGAGGCCGGCAGCTCATGGCCGCACCAGGCCACCGAGGGTGCCGCTCCGTGCGCCGGACCCGGACAGGAGGCACTGCCACCCCATCCGGTCCGACCCTACGCCGCCTGGCGGGAGGGGGCTCCTATCAGGACCCCCCCTCCCAGCCTGGGTCATGCGCCACGCCGAGGGGGCCGCCCGCGTCGCCTGACGCCCAGGCGACGCTCTCTCGCCACCAAACGAGCGCGAGCTTCAGCACGCCGCTGACGCTCGCGCTCCCTTCCCGCGGTCTCCTTCTGCAACATTACGATTTCGCAGAAGGAGGCCACGGCCCTCCACTTCTCCTCGCTGCCGAGCATGGCACGCACCATGCCCGGCAGCGAGACATCCCGCCCGATGACGCTGATCAGGACACGGCGTTCACCCTCCCATGCAGCGCATACCTCGAGGGTATGTTCCGCCGTGTCCTGCTCAGCGTCACAATGGCAGCAACGCGCCGTCGGCTCCTTCCCTATCCGGCACAGGTATCTCCCGAAGCTTTTCGTGGGGAAAATCTTCGAAAGACTCCCTCCCACCTCTTTGGGGAGAGGCGGGAGGGGTGTGTGGGATTCCCCGCGCCCATTATAACGGGCGCGGGACCTACCCACTAAAAACCCCACGGTGACCCTTCCGCACGATTTGGGAGGATACCGGGAATCGCTTGAAGTATACTTCCGGTATCCTCCCCGTGCCCGCGCTTTGCGCCCACCCGCGGGGGGACAAACGGTCCCCCCGGTAATCGCCCTGTCTCATAGCGGCAGGACGAGGCCACATCGTCCTGCCGCCATCCGTCCCGGGGCCGCGTCTAGTGGCGGCTGCGAGCCCCAACTCGCAACCGCCGCGACCCCTTTTCTACCCCTCGGAGGCCGGCAGCTCATGGCCGCACCAGGCCACCGAGGGTGCCGCTCCGTGCGCCGGACCCGGACAGGAGGCACTGCCACCCCATCCGGTCCGACCCTACGCCGCCTGGCGGGAGGGGGCTCCTATCAGGACCCCCCTCCCAGCCTGGGTCATGCGCCACGCCGAGGGGGCCGCCCGCGTCGCCTGACGCCCAGGCGACGCTCTCTCGCCACCAAACGAGCGCGAGCCTCAGCACGCCGCTGACGCTCGCGCTCCCTTCCCGCGGTCTCCTTCTGCAACATTACGATTTCGCAGAAGGAGGCCACGGCCCTCCACTTCTCCTCGCTGCCGAGCATGGCGCGCACCATGCCCGGCAGCGAGACATCCCGCCCGATGACGCCGATCAGGACACGGCGTTCACCCTCCCATGCAGCGCATACCTCGAGGGTATGTTCCGCCGTGTCCTGCTCAGCGTCACAATGGCAGCAACGCGCCGTCGGCTCCTTCCCTATCCGGCACAGGTATCTCCCGAAGCTGCCATGCCCCGAGAACACCTGTGCCATCCTGTAAGTGAGGCTTCCATGGCCTCTGTCCAGCCACTCACATAGGAGTGGCCGAACAGCCCCGACTGTCCGGTGCCCCGCGGTAGGCAGAGCCAACCGCTCTTGCCACGCGTGCACCACGGACTGCCGGGCCTGGCGCTTCAACTCGCCCCAAGCAGGTTCCTGCACACCCGGGACCGCCCCCACCCCCGCGCGACGGTCGACGCGGTGACGATACATCATCGCGTGCGACCGCGCGAGGAGATCCATGGGCGGCATCCCCGCAAGAACCGTCGCCGCCTCATGTGACACGGTCCGGTACCCGCGGACGACCCTTAGAGCCATCCGCCTCTGCACCCGACGCAGCATAGTCATGCCGCGCCGGGAGGCCGCCAGGTCGTCCGCCCAGACGGGGGCCCCGTATAGGACCACCGACTGAACCATTGCCACATAGAGGCGGCGAACTCGGCCCGCCGGGCCCCCCAGGTTGGGCAGAATCCGGCCCAAAGCCCCGACCATCCTCTCCAGCCGGGGGACCAGGCAGCGGAAATGCTCCTCGAAGCGCCAGTGGCTATCGAGGATCAGCCCCAGATACCTCATCTGGGGCTTCACCTCGATATTAGCCTCACCCACGCGGATCAGAGGGGGTGGCGGATCCTGCCGAGGTGAATGGAACGCTATCACCTCGGTCTTATGGACCGCCACCGTCATCCCCATCCCTCTGATCCGGTCGACGACGCGTTGCGCCCCCTCCTCCGCGAGACGCTTGGCCCTCCCCCAGTGCGCCCCGACGGCCAGCACCAGTGTGTCATCTGCATAACACACGGCGCTGACGCCGTCGGGGAGGTCGGCCCGCAACACTGCGTCGTACGCGATGTTCCACAGGAGTGGCCCGAGGACCGACCCCTGCGGAACACCCGCAGTACACCTCCCTCCGCATATGCCCATCCCGGCTCGGATACTCGATCCACCTGCCGCGGAGATAATCCCCGATGACCGCCCCGAGACAAGGGGGGACCCGATGATATTCGAGCCCCCTCCTTATCTCCTCCCAGGGCAGGGTGTTAAAGGCGTTGGCAATATCCAAGGATATTGCCAAAGCCACCCCTCCCCGGGAGACGGCCGACTCCGAGAGGGCCCTGACACGACCTATCGCGTCGATGGTCGATCGACCCTCCCGGAAACCGTACTGGCAGTCGGCCAGGCCGGGGGCACCCCGCGCCAGGTGCTCGACGAGGCGGGCAGCAATCACCCGCTCGAAGAGCTTGCCCACCTCGTCGAGGAGACAGATGGGCCGGTATGCGGAGGGAGACTCCGCGGGCCGACCCTCCTTCCGGAGGAGGACCATCCTCGCCACCTTCCAACTGGGGGGGAATCGCCCGTCCCTCAGGCATCGGTCGAACAACCGCCTGAGGTCGGCCCCAAGGACGCCCTGGGTCAAGACCCAAACCCGGCCGGGCACACCATCCGGACCCGGGGCCGTGTTACGCGCCCCGAGCCGTCTGATGGCCGCGGCCAGCTCCCCCTGAGTGACCCCCAGTTCGGCCGCCCACTCCCTTGGGACTGCCGCCTCCGCCGGAGGACGTGGTCCCCTCACCCGAATTGGGAAAAGAGTATTGACCACGTCCTCCAGCAGCCGGGGGTCAAGACCCTCGGTGACGGGGGGCGCCCACGGGCGGAGCTTCTTCAGCACCACCCTGTACGGGCGCCCCCAAGGATCGTCATCGAGGGTCTGGAGGAGATCCTTCCATGCCCGGGTCTTGGCCCGTTTGATGGCGACCTGCAGAGCAACCCGCGCCATCCGGTATGCCTCATACAGGTCATCTGCCCTCGCTCGCGCCACGCCATCGTCCGGTCGTAGACGACGGCGCGCGCGGGCGTACTGGCGTCGGGCGCGGACACTCGCGACCCGCAATTCCGCGATCGCGGCCGACCACCAGTACACCGCCCGGCGAGGAGAAGCTCGCCCGACCCGGGGCATCGACGCGTCGCAAATGTTTGCGACTAGTACCCCGAGCCGGGCAGCCTCCTCCTCCATGCTTGGCAACTCGGCCGCCACCTGCGGCCAAGTTGCAGCGAGGGCAGCTGCCATCAGGGCGTCCTTGTCCAGGCGCCGAAGCGCCCAGCGGCGCGGTGGGGTGCCATCCGGGCGGCGGTGCCGGGACGCAGCCCCGGCGGCAGAGACCTCCATCCGGATATACCGGTGATCGGAGAGTGTCTCTGCCTCCGGGGCCACCTGCCAACCCGACACCATGCGCACGGCGTTGGGGGGTCGCGAATCCAACATCCACGATAGACCCCCCATATCGCCGCACGCACGTGTGCTCCGACCCCCGGTTCAGTAACCGAAGGTCGAGCCCCGCCGCCCAGTCGCCCAGGATCCCGCCGCGAACGGTGGTCCTAGGGGATTTTCGTGGGGAAAATCTTCGAAAGACTCCCTCCCACCTCTTTGGGGAGAGGCGGGAGGGGTGTGTGGGATTCCCCGCGCCCATTATAACGGGCGCGGGACCTACCCACTAAAAACCCCACGGTGACCCTTCCGCACGATTTGGGAGGATACCGGGAATCGCTCGAAGTATACTTCCGGTATCCTCCCCGTGCCCGCGCTTTGCGCCCACCCGCGGGGGGACAAACGGTCCCCCCGGTAATCGCCCTGTCTCATAGCGGCAGGACGAGGCCACATCGTCCTGCCGCCATCCGTCCCGGGGCCGCGTCTAGTGGCGGCTGCGAGCCCCAACTCGCAACCGCCGCGACCCCTTTTCTACCCCTCGGAGGCCGGCAGCTCATGGCCGCACCAGGCCACCGAGGGTGCCGCTCCGTGCGCCGGGCCCGGACAGGAGGCACTGCCACCCCATCCGGTCCGACCCTACTCCGCCTGGCGGGAGGGGGCTCCTATCAGGACCCCCCTCCCAGCCTGGGTCATGCGCCACGCCGAGGGGGCCGCCCGCGTCGCCTGACGCCCAGGCGACGCTCTCTCGCCACCAAACGAGCGCGAGCCTCAGCGCGCCGCTGACGCTCGCGCTCCCTTCCCGCGGTCTCCTTCTGCAACATTACGATTTCGCAGAAGGAGGCCACGGCCCTCCACTTCTCCTCGCTGCCGAGCATGGCGCGCACCATGCCCGGCAGCGAGACATCCCGCCCGATGACGCCGATCAGGACACGGCGTTCACCCTCCCATGCAGCGCATACCTCGAGGGTATGTTCCGCCGTGTCCTGCTCAGCGTCACAATGGCAGCAACGCGCCGTCGGCTCCTTCCCTATCCGGCACAGGTATCTCCCGAAGCTGCCATGCCCCGAAAACACCTGTGCCATCCGGTAGGTGAGGCTTCCATGGCCTCTGTCCAGCCACTCACATAGGAGTGGCCGAACAGCCCCGACTGTCCGGTGCCCCGCGGTAGGCAGAGCCAACCGCTCTTGCCACGCGTGCACCACGAACTGCCGGGCCAGGCGCTTCAACTCGCCCCAGGCAGGTTCCTGCACACCCGGGACCGCCCCCACCCCCGTGCGACGGTCGACGCGGTGACGATACTTCGTCGCGTGCGACCGCGCGAGGAGATCCATGGGCGGCATCCCCGCAAGAACCGTCGCCGCCTCATGCGACACGGTCCGGTACCCGCGGACGACCCTTAGAGCCATCCGCCTCTGCACCCGACGCAGCATAGTCATGCCGCGCCGGGAGGCCGCCAGGTCGTCCGCCCAGACGGGGGCCCCGTATAGGACCACCGACTGAACCATTGCCACATAGAGGCGGCGAACTCGGCCCGCCGGGCCCCCCAGGTTGGGCAGAATCCGGCCCAAAGCCCCGACCATCCTCTCCAGCCGGGGGACCAGGCAGCGGAAATGCTCCTCGAAGCGCCAGTGGCTATCGAGGATCAGCCCCGACCCAAACTGCCCGCTTTGTGCGGACATGGGGAGGCCAGCCGATCACAGGGTGGTGAGCAAAAAGTGCTCTCCCCCCTCCCGGAAGGGGAAGAAGAAGGGGCCCACCCCGGTTCAGGCACCGCGGTCGCTGGCAGCGTCCACAATGGAGGTGGACGGTGCCACGGGGACGGACAGCCGGGAGGAGGCTGGGACCTCGGCCAAGTACAGCTCGAACGCGGCGTGACCGATGCGGGGCGAGATGTAGCACCCCACTACGGCGACTCCCCCCCCAATCCACGGCGACGAAACCCCGACCGCGCTTCAGAACGGAGAACGGCGGGGACCCGTCGCCACCTCCCCATACCGTCGCCACCAAACCGTCCGTGTCGCCCACCCAATGTGGGTGATCAGGCACGCGGTACGGCCCGGCGGCGACCGCCAGGCCAACACCCCACTCCGCGTGGACTTGGGACATCATGTTCTGTGCCGCGCGCCAGTGGTTGAGATTGGCCTGGAGGAGGAGGCGGGGCGCCGTTATTTAACGGCCGTTCCAGCCTCCTCCCGGCTGTCCGTCCCCGTGGCACCGTCCACCTCCATTGTGGACGCTGCCAGCGACCGTGGTGCCTGAACCGGGGTGGGCCCCTTCTTCTTCCCCTTCCGGGAGGGGGGAGAGCACTTTTTGCTCCCCACCCTGTGATCGGCTGGCCTCCCCATGTCCGCACATAGCGGGCAGTGGGGGGCCGCCGAACACTGGCTCGCGCGGTGGCCATTCGCTCCGCAGCGGTAACACTGACCGCTGCGGTCCACCGGCGAGGTGCACCACTGCCTCACGTGCCCCAACTCGAGGCAGCGGTGACACTGGAGTGGCCGCGGCGCGAGTATCTCCACTCGCGCCGAAACCCACCCCACCAATACCCTCCCGGATTCCGCCACCTTTCGGGCGGCGGAGAGGGGACACCGGGCCCACACCGACCCCAGGCCGGAAGGAGACCTGCGGATTTCTCCGACCCGCACATCTCCCTCGGGGCAATCACCCGCCCTCGCTAGGGCACGGGACACCTCCTGCGCGGTGACCGAGTCATCCAGCCCACATATGCGCATCTCTGTGCGCTTCGTGGGCCGGGCGACTCGGACACCCCGCTCGCCCAGCTGCTCCTGGAGCCTCTGGGCGAGTCGGTCCGCCTTCACGCCGCCCTCTGGACCAGGGATCTCCAGCAGGAGACCCCCGGTCACGGCCCTCTTCGCCCTCACGGAAGCGATGCCAAGCTCCTCCAGGGATATATTATCCCTGGCGAGCTGCATCGCCCCCGCGAGTGTCAGGTCGCCCCCCTGAGGAACGGTCAGCGTCACTGCTGCCGTTTTAGGGGGGCGCCCTGGTCGCACCTTCGCGGCCTTTCCCTTGGCCGCGGGCGGCGAGGTAGCAGGTCGCGGCTGCGAGGCCTTCCTCGCCGCCCTCTTCGCCTTCCGCCCTACCACCTCGCTCCACGACACCCCCCCCTTGGGATGGTGCCGCAGAGGACGCGCACACCGGGGCCGCTTGATCTTTAGCTTGCTATTCGTCGCGGCAGTTACACACATATGTGGACTGCCTAATAGCAAGGAAGTGAGATAGATAGATAGGCGGTTCGATTCCTCTTGCCCCTGTGCCGTCCCGCGGGACTTCAAGTCAGCGGTGAACTGTACCTTATGGACATTCATACAACGCAGCATTGAAAAATTAATATTCTTCTGCAACAAACGGAAAGGTTTACAAAAAACTTGTACACATACAGTAATAACAGTTGAAAAAGGTAAAATATTTTTGGAAAACCAGAGAAATAAAGAACGACCTGGCTCAATGATTGGAGGAGATCGCTTATTGTTGGAGAAAGAAAAAAAGTAACATCTTCGTGTTAAGGATTCTTAACGAATCTTAACATCGCGGTGTGTACGATGCGGACGTGACTTTTGAGGATCAGAATTTAGAGATATTTCGTTGGGTAAATTACGCTGCGGTTATTAAGGGAAACTCAAAACCCCGAACGGGATTTTTTTTTTTGTCGTGGGGAAAATCTTCGAAAGATTCCCTCCCACCTCTTTGGGGAGAGGCGGGAGGGGCGTGTGAGATTCCCCGCACCCATTATAACGGCCGCGGTACCTACCCACTAAAAACCAGTATCCTCCCCGTGCCCGCGCTTTGCGCCTATCCACGGGGGGACAAACGGTCCCCCCGGCAATCACCCTGTCTCATAGCGGTAGGACGAGGCCACTTCGTCCCGCCGCCATCCGTCTCGGGGCTGCGGTTAGTGGCGGCTGCCGGACTTGGAATCCTTGGAGCTCTTTCTTGCCTCAATAGCGATTGACGTATCGTAACCCCGCGTTAGCGCACAGCTGCAAACCAACGAGGTCTTGGCGTCGTTGGCTTTCCCTAAAGATTATTATTAAAAGAGGCAACGTTCTCGCTCACCCTTGCGTGGTGTATCTGGACACTGGACAGCACGGTGGGCAAGAATGTTGTAAAAAGCATGAAACGCCCTGCCAAGGTGACGACTTTGAGGATTGGCTTGACTAATTCTCCCACCGGTTAGCGCTGCGTGTTTTCGTCACCTTGGTAGGGGGAACCGAGGTTAGGTTAAGGGTAGAATTAAGAGTTTTAGTTAGATTCGTTTGATTGAGCAGTACAACTCGATTAGATTTTCCGCAAGACTTCTCGTATTCTTGCATAATTAAAAAAGCAACGGGCTTTTAATTATTGGTTTTTTCCCAAACTATTTTTGGATGGTCCTTCTAGCGCACGGAACGGAACACAGCGATGCAGCTGTGTCATAAGCACGGTTTGCGCAGCATAGCAAATGGGCATAGTGCTTTGCGGCCAAAACACTTCGTAAGAAGCAAGAAGAGTTGAAACGAACGCGACAGGAAATTAGTGCCACTGAAGGTACGATACATATTTTCATTACTTTCTATACTTTAAAATATTATTAAGTACAATGCGTTGACACTATTTTTTGTATATTTTTTAAACAAGGTAAAATAGTAAAATTGCAAATATTATCATCCTCGACCGACGATTATGAAATTGAATTTGAAGATATCGATGTCCCTGGTCCGAGCAACCCGAAGAAAAGACGAGTTCAGAAGCAGACCATAACTCCGAATTTGTTTGCAACACCAGGTAGATGCAAAATAAACGATCATGATAATGTGCGAATAATTGCAGCAGTCGTAGAAGCTCTAGGTCACAACTTAGATGATCTAGTAATAGATCGAGCATCGATTCGCCGCCATCGATTTAATTTGCATGGAGAAAATGCAAACCGAGCGACACGTAATAATCAGGAGCTGAATGCAGTTACCCTGCACTGGGACGGAAAATTCTTAGGTATTTGCTTTAAAAGGGTCAGAAAAAGTCGAAAGGTTAGCGGTTATAATTACTTGCAGAGATGTTGAATTTTTATTGGGCATACCTATAATTCCATCAAGTAATGGAAATGATCAAGCCACTGCAGTCCATTATTTATTACAAGAATATGGATTAACTTAACAAGGTACAAGCATTTTCTTGTGATACCACATCATCAAATACAGGACGATTCAAAGGAGCTTGTGTTCTTCTGGAACAAAAACTTGAAAGGGAGATTTTGTATTTACCTTACAGACATCATATTTATGAGATTATTTTACAAAATATATTTGTTGAAAAAATGACAAAATCCGAAGCGCCAAGTGTTACTCTATTGCAAAAATTTAAAGAAGCGTGGCCTTCGATTGACAAGGTAAGATTTATACCAGCAATTAATAGCGAGTTTATTCATCGAAAAATTCCAACTGAGTTAACTCAACAAATTATTAAATTTTCACTTAAAATTTTAGAAACAGAAAAACAACCGCGGGACGATCATAGGGAGGTTTTGGAATTAGTAATTATTTTTCTGGATGGGACTCCACAAAGAAATGTATCCTTTCGAACTCCATGAGCTTTCCATCACGCTCGATGGATGTCAAAAGCGATCTACGCATTAAAAATATATTCATTTAAGGAACAATTTTATTTAAATATTCAGAAAGAAATTGGACTACAGGATATTTGTATTTTTTTTGACAAGACTCTATAACATATAAAAGTATGGATTAGAGCTCCAATAGCAGTGGAAGCTCCACGCCAAGATTTCGAATTCTTGAAAGAACTCTATGAATACTGTAATATTGACGAAAATGTAAGCCATATAGGTTTGTCCAAATTTGCTAACCATTATTTAGTATTTGTCACCAGAAGTGGTAGGTTTAGCATTTTTTGATAAGATGGTATCAAAAAGTACTAAATTGCGAATGATAGAAGCAATGAAAAATAAATCAGAAGACAACTTCTGCAAAAAGATTAAAATTGCTCCTGAAGATGTGAAAAACTATATCGATACAGAAATTGAGCATTTCATTTCAAAAAAGACAAGAACATTTTTTGAAAGACCTTCTATTCCGTTTGATTTCTTAGAAAAAGATCCTGATTTATAGGAACATGAGAGCGACTTTAACTACGGGTTAAAGATCGCTCGACAATTAAAAGTTGTAAATGGCACCGCTGAGCGTGGTGTTAAGCTCATATAAGATTACAATAAAATATTGGCGAAAAATGATGAGGTAAAACAATTTATCCTATAAATTGTTTCCGAGAATAGAAAACGTTTTCCACATGTAGCAAAGTACTCTTTGTCAATAAATATGTAAACATAATAATAATAATCTTTATTTCGGCCTCACAAATAGATATTTTTAAAACAATAAAGAAATATCTAAGGAAGTAAAAAATTATTCTTATTGCGTTAAAATATCTTTTTAATAAATTCTACTGAATATGAGTTACATATCTTTCATTAAAGTATGTTTTATCACATTAGGAAATTGTTTCCTGTGTTTCGAAATTATTTTTATTATACTATATTGTTTTCCTTCCTCATTTCTTGATAATAATTGATTGCATTCTTCCATAAGTACATATAAGTATAAGTATTCTTCCATAATCATCATCTTCCCACGTGTCAGGATCTTTTCTTAAAAATCCGGTTGTTGAGGCCCATTAGAAACGGTGCCGTGTGCAACCGATCCTCGAAGGACCGAGAATGTTCCACGGCACGCGCCGAGAACTGTTGCACCCGGCGCGAAGAAAAACCAAGGCCCCGATCGCCTAGGAGCTCTTTATCCGTATATCACGAAAGCAGTCAATCAATCAACCAGCAAACAGACCACACGTAAAGACCTCTTCGAACGCAGGCATACCTGTATCATCAGTGTTTCAATTAAACGAGTTAATTGTTAATCTACTGTGTCAAAAATCACATCCCTTCACACCCTTCACACCTTAATTGGTACGGAGAATTAGCGACCGCAAACGATCGCGTTTCACCAAGACCGATCGTCATCCTGCGTCGCAACACCGATTGATGTGGAAAATCTCCAAAATTGTTCCTTAAATGAACATATTTTCAAGCAATACAAAGCTTT